TAGTCTGTAGACCCTAGGTTGCTTGACTAACTCATCTCCTTACCTGTAGACCCTTCGTTGATTGACCCCCACCAGCTACCTGCTCTCGCTGTTTCTGTTGACCCTCTGTTCTCCTGGCAGCATTAACCGATGTGAACTGTTTTTGGTTATTTGGGTGCGGCGTGTGTTGTGACGGCAGTGTGCGAAGGTATGATGATCTCTCCACACTACACGCATCGTAGAGCCGTAATGTACACCTAGCATCTACAAATTATGAGCAATCTACGTACACGAGAGTTGTGTGCGCGTGCACCCTCACAACACTGTTTGGTTTTTGTCAGTGTTAACACCATGCCACATATGCGCGCGCACACACACGCACACATACACACGCGAACATAGTAGTTGCTGTTATTGTTAGCGTACTAGTGATAGCAGGAGTAAGATAATATAGGAGTATATTATATTACCTATATTACCTATTATATTATATTACCACGTATCCTATATTATCTTACTCCTGGTGATAGTAGTAGTATTGGCAATAATAATGATGGTAATCTAATGGTAATGATAATAATAACCTATTATTTATAAATTAATAAAAATTTACGTTATATTACCTGTATGTATGTTTATTATTATTATTATTATCATTTATTAATATTATTATTATTATTATTACTAATATTTTTATCATTACCGTCACCATCACCACCATCACCATCATCATCATCATCATCTGTGGCGAGCTGTACCGTGTGATGGTGGGGATGGATGTGATGACGCGCCGCGCGTTGCATGCCTCGGTGACGTTCCGTGACACGTTACATGCCACGGCGACTTTCCGTGACACGTCTCGTCACGCGATGCATGCCTCAGTGGAACCACTTGCTGCGTTACATGCCACGGCGACGTTCAATCTGATGGTCCTTAAATCGCGCGTTGCATGCCATGGGACCGTGTCTTGCTGCGTTAACGTGCCATGACGCGACGTTCCATGATGCGTCCGTGCGCGTGCATGCCATGGACGCTGTCTGCTGCGTTACATGCCACGGCGACGTTCCATGATGCGTCCTTGCGCGTTGCATGCCATGGTGACGCGTCTTGCTGCGTTACATGCCACGGCGACGTTCCATGATGCATTCTTGCGCGTTGCATGCCCATGGTGATGCGTCTTGCCTGCGTTACATGCCACAGCGACGTTCCATGATGCTCCTTCCGCAGCGATTGCATAGCCATGGGATGGCGTCTGCTGCGTTACATGCATGGTGATGCGTCTTGCTTCGTTACATACCATGGCGACGTTCATGATGCGTCCTTTGCACGTTGCATGATGGGGGCGTTTGCTGCGTTACATGCCATGGTGACGCGTCTTGCTGCGTTACATGCCACGGCGACGTTCCATGATGCGTCCTTGCTGCGTTACATGCCATGGTGATGCGTCTTGCGTCGTTACATGCCACGGCGACGTTCCATGATGCGTCTTGCTGCGTTACATCCATGGTGACGTTCCATGATGCTTTCTTGTTTTATTGTCGTCCTTGCGCGTTGCATGCCATGGTGATGCGTCTTGCTGCGTTACATGCCATGGTGACGCGTCTTGCTGCGTTACATGCCATGGCGACGTTCCATGATGCGTCCTTAGCGCGTACATCCATGGTAATCGCGTTTGCTGTGTTACATGCCATGTGTACGCATTTGCTGCTGGCGTTATGCATGGCGACGTTCCATGTGCGTCTTGCTGCGTCATGCCATGCGACGTCTCCTGCGCGGCTACATGCCATGGCGACGTTCTCTGACGCCCTGTCTCCTCGTCGTTGCAGAGAACGAGGTGCACCAGTTCTTCGTGCGGGCGTCGGACGGCGGCATGGACGCGGACGTGCCCGTCGAGGTGATGGTGATGGGTGAGGACGACGTCGCTCCCAGCATCCTGCATCCCACGAAGCCGTACTTCATCAAGGAGGACGAGCCCGTCGGCACGGCGATCGCGACGATACCCGCCAGGGGGAGCTCGAGGCTCTCCTACAGCATCGTGCCGGGTACGCGCGCGCGCTGTTGCCGCGGTTACGACAAATGCGATTTTTTTTTCTCGTTGCGTTGAAGTGAAAGTGTGCAGTTATGCTTGCGGTTACTTATACTGAGGGTTGCACTGAGGAGACCCTGAAAGTGTCTTTTGTAGGCAGGTGCCTCTACTGTAGAGGTGACAGTTAACACGGACCTATCGAAAATAACTTCATTTTATCATCCCGATTGTCTCTTGTCGCAGTCATCTGCACCAGAGGGCGCTGTGGATTGTGATGTTCACATGTCATTTATCCACGATGGGAACACCAGATGGCGCCGTCTGTCATGACGTTCACATGTTTTCTTCGCGCGACAGGGACGCTGCCGCACACGAACAGCCCGGCGACCTTCTCGGTGGACGAGCAAGGTCGGGTCATGGTCATTCGCGACCTGGACAGGGAGGAGACGGACCACTACACACTGACCATCATGACGGAGACTCTGTCCAGCCCGCCGCTGGTAGACCTCACCGAGGTTCACATAAAGGTACTGTCTCGCCACCAAATGTGTCCTTAATGGACAGGTGCCCCTTTTATAGAGGTTGCCCCTTCTATAGAGGTGGATTCTCTAAATATATTTCCACTGGGGTTCACGTAAAGGTACTGTAACTCGAGGAAAACCCTGAAGTGAACAGAAAGTTTCCTTTCTGTAGAGGTGGTTTCACTGTGGTTAACTACTACTTGAACGAAGTGCTAAAAGTGTCTTCTACAGACAGGTGTTTTTCCTATGAAGGTGACTGCTAATGCCAGCAGTATGCATGTGTGCGTGTGTGCGTGCGTGCGTGCGTGCGTACGTGCATGCGTGCGTGTGTGCGTGCGTGCGTGCGTACGTGCATGCGTGCGTGTCTATGACTCTGTGTCTGTGTGTGTGTGTGTCTTTCTATATGTGACTCTCTGTATGTAACTGTGTGTTGTGTGTTTGTCTCTCTATATGTGACTCTGTGTCTGTGACTGTGTGTGTGACTCTGTGTGTGACTCTCTGTGTGTGACTCTGTCTGTGACTGTATGTGACTCTGTTTGTGCCTCTGACTCTGACTGCGTATGTGACTCTGTCTGTGACTCTGTGTGACTTTGTGTGTTACTCTGTCTGTGACTGCGTATGTGACTCTGTCTGTGACTCTGTGTGACTCTGTGTGTGACTCTGTCTGTGACTGACTGTGACTCTGTATGTGACTCTGTCTGTGACTGACTGTGACTCTGTCTGTGACTGACTGTAACTCTGTGAGTGACTGTGTGTGACTCTCTGTGTGTGACGCTGTGTTACTCTCTGTATGTGACTGTGACTGTGACTCTGTATGTGACTGTGTGTGACTCTCTGTGTGTGACGCTGTTCTCTCTGTATGTGACTGTGACTGTGACTCTGACTGTGATTCTGTACGACTCTCTGTGTGTGACGCTGTGTTACTCTCTGTATGTGACTCTGTCTGTGACTCTGTATGTGACTGTGTATCTGTGTGTGTGTCTCTCTGTGACTGTGACTGTGTGTGTGACTCTGTATGTGACTGTGTATCTCTGTGTGTGTGTGTCTTTGTGTGTGACTGTCTGTGACTGTGTGTGTGACTCTGTCTGTGACTCTGTCTGTGACTCTGTGACAGGTGATGGACGTGAACGACAACCCGCCCGCGTTTGAGGAGAACCCTTACCGCGTGAGGCTGGCCGAGAGTTCTCCCGTCGGCACCCAGGTGGCGCGAGTCTACGCCAGCGACCCCGACCTTGGCCCCAACGGAGAGGTCAGGTAAGTCTGGAGGGCGAGGCGCTGAAAATGAAGAGAAGGCTGGTGTCTGGTCGGGTTACCCAACGGGTAGGTGGGGAAGGGAAGAAAGGAAAGGGAAAAATAAATTCAAAACGAAGAAAAATTTCGTACTGCGTTCTGCGAGTCGGGGAGAAAAAACAAGAGAAACAGAAGACAACTGCGAGAAATAGAAAATGCAAAACACATTGCAATGGCTCGAGTCTGGGAAAAAGTCTGTGAAAAGGTTTTGAAGTAAAGGAAAAAGTCTATGGAAATGTTTTGAAGTTGGTAAAAGTAACTTGGTTGTAAGTAAGTAGTTTGGTTGAAAAAGTAAATTCAAAACAAAAAGCTTGTTGCATTTTCTCAAATCGAGAACAAGAATTGTGTTAGGTAAAGTAGCTAAAAAGGTTTTATGTTAGAAGAAAAAGCAAATCCAAGAAAGCAGAAGGTTCCTGCTGCATTCTTTTAAGTCAGAGAAAAGGTTTATTGTCAGTAAAAGAAACAACATGTCGAGTAAAATTCAGGGAAAGAGTTTTGAAATTGGCGGAGGCGAAAGAAAGCAAACCCAAACAATATCGCCGGGATATGTTTTAAGCTATGTGTTTGTGTATCACTATGTGCAGACATCTGCTGTTGTGTGTAAGTGTGTAAGTTGTGTAAGTGTAAGTTGGGTAAAACCTAACCCAAACAACGCGGCCTTGATTTGGTTACACCTCTCTGTGTAAGCTATCTGTGTAAGCACCTTCCTCTGTGTAACCATCTTTTATTCTGTTTATAAGCATCGTCTCTCTCTCTCTCTCGCTCTCTTGCTGCAGCTATCATCTGGAGAACAAGGACAAGAAGGTCGCGAAGACGTTTGCCGTCGACGCTAAGACGGGCTGGGTGAGCCTGCGCGCGCGCGTGGACAAGGAGGCAAGCGCCACGCACACGCTCGTCGTGAGGGCCAGCGACGCCGGCATCCCCACGCCGCTCTCGCAGACGACACGCGTCATCGTGCAGGTGAGGGTGTAGGACGTGGTCGCCACGGCAACGCGTGGTCGTCGCTGGAATGCCGTTGTCACAGTGACGCAGTCATTGCTATAATTTACATTTGTTTAAAATCTATATATTATAGCTATCTATTATATATCTATTATATATCTATTATAACAGAGAATTTGCTATTATGGTACTCTTGATAGTAGGGTGGCGTGGTCCGTGGGTGTACACGCACGCTGGCTACCTCTGACCACAGTTCTCTACACATAGTACAACTAGGCCTATCCGTGTAATAACGACCAGACCTCGGCTATAGCCAGCGCAACTAACGCTGCAGTAAAACATCGGAAAATCGCTTCTTTTTTCGATAAAAATACCGCGACAAAATCATCGACCAAAAAAAAAATCGACAAAATTTATCGACAAAATCGACA